AAAGATAAAAATTATTTTCAATTTATATTGATATTTTTTTAATGGATTGATAGCATTAAAAAAATGTAACATATCTGTTAATATGATAGATATAATACAGTTGCGTGATTGTAGAATTATTTGTAAAAATCAGATTGTAATTTTAGATATTACAAATTCGTACCATCTTTACCAGAGCGCTTGCAACCACAATGTCAGAGGTTATATGGACTAAGAGCTTGCGTTATCAGGGCATTACATTACAATTATTTTAGGACGTCGGAAGGAGAAGGAGACGATATGTCTTACTTACGACAGGAGGAACCGCATTCTCTTGTGAAAAGAAAATGCATTCTCATGTGGCATAAAGTAAATTGCGAATAACTCTTTGTCCACATTTAAGCTCTAAGCTCAAGTAAACGTGTAGCTGTTCTTTCGTATATCTTTAACAGTAATTATGTAATTGTATTGAATTTATCGTTCTTTATTTCACGTTATGTGATAATATATAACGACGTTGTGGTGTGTCCTAGGAGGGGAAAGTACGGTGGTATTTCTATTTTAAGTTGAAGGAAGTTTCCAAAATACGTAACAGTCTGTTGAAGCAAAATAAACAGTGTAATGTTAAAAAAACGGAATTTCTCGAAACATTGGAAGACGTGGCTGTTAATCCCGAAGACGGTTGCAAAGTGCTTAGGGTTTGTAACGTAGAACTTGTTCGTAATTTCTCAAAGAAATTGAAGTCATTCATACATTACATTTATTTTATTTGTGTGTGTGTGTGTGTATAATATATTTTAATCTATTTAATAATTTATGTGTAGGTGAGTTGCTTAAAGTATAGTATGTTACCACCGGTGATCGGATTGGTCCTGCAAACAGTATCTATAAACTTAATGCCCGGCTTCAGAGAATACCGACTTCAACTTGGATTCGGAACATCCGATGTTCCTAGTACGTTAACAAATCAAATAATACTTCGTAATGTTATCGGATACAGTATCTTGAATTGGTGGGATCCCGCTTATCCTCATCAGGATGTGGGTTATACGATCGAATTGCCACAAAACGACTCGTGGGAAATCTAAAATTTATTATAAGATTGTTCTTATATTTTGTGTATTGGGGAAGTAGAGAAGCCTTTAAATTTTATAAGACAAATATATCAACGCGTAACAAATGTAAAGTTATTCGAATTAATACCTCTTTTTTTTCGTCAGTTCATGAATGATTTCAAAGTTATAATATGATTAAGAAAATAAAATATAAACAATATCGAAATAATAGACAACGCAAATTTTGTGCAAAAATGTTTTATGTACATTATTGTGTTGTATAAAGTATATGTACATCAAAATAAAATCATTATATATGATTATAAATAATAATTTGGTTGATGTACCAATTTGATTGCAACATTTCGAATTAGAGATGTTTCTTTCAAAACTTTTACAGTGACTAATAACTTACTAATTGACGACGTGTTTAAGTTCCTGAACTGTACATTTTACATAATTTAATAAACAATTATTGCTGACAAATTTCATTTTTTAACAGCTGCTTCTACAGCATCTATCAATTCCTGCAGATGATGTATGTTATCAGTCGAAATATTAAGATCTTTGACCTAAAAGATGTAAGTAATTAGACATGAAAATATATTTTTTAAATGCATAATATTTTCTTACCATATTTGTGTAACCATCCACATCTACTTTAAGTTGAATACGTATTTTTTCGTCATCGCTGGTTCCCTGTGGTTCCGAAGGAAGAATTTCAGTGGATTTATCACGAATCTTTTTCAATCTCCTCAAACTCTCCTCAGTTTTTTGTACAAACGTTAACACATCCGTAACGAATAGTAAATAACTAAAATAAATTCCAATATTCTTACTATATGCATAATTAATTTTAAGTAATTTTGAAAACGTTTTCAGATTTTTTTATATAACAATATTATTGAAGAAATAATAAAGAATAAATAAAAAGAAATTATTTACCTTTCTGTTAACGAGGATAAAGTTAGTTCTAACCAAAGAATAATATTTTCGGGAATGATCTTGTTATATTCTGTATAAAAATTTGTAAGAGGAATCATCGCGCTCTTTACATAAGGACAAGGTTTAGTTGGCACATCTCGCTTTGTTCTTCTAAACAGTCGAGGAATGTCGCTAACTTGTTTCAAGTGTGTTACACATTGCTCTGAGAGCTCATTTACGATTTCTTTCATAACTAAAGGTAATAGATTAGCTAGACTGTTCGATGTTTCACCTAGAGAGTCTAAAATACAAGAATTAATAAACTAAATCTTAATACTTTAAGATAATATATATTTATAATTCTTCATATATATTACCTTCTAGTAATTTCGATATTGTAACAGTCTCGTCTTTAATTTTTGACTGTACCATTTGTAAGAAAGATGGTAAAGCATTTATCAATTTTTCTATATCAATATACAAATACACTAGAAAGTTCACTCTCGTAGAGTGTTCCAAGTCATTTGAATTATTAGTTTCGTTTATCACTGGCCATATCTTTAAATATAAAAATTGTTATACTTTCTTATATATATGTAGATTTATCTAATTTATCTAATTTATGTACATATCTTACACATACGCGCACGCATGCACACATATATAAGTTGAATGTGAAAACGTACTTGTTTCATTGCACTCTGACACCAAGTTTGATATCTCGAGCTTATTTGAAGACTGAGTTTCCAAAATCTGATAATAGTATCGTTGCATTAGTTTTAATCACGAGGAGATTAAGATTAAAATAAAAATGATTCAGAGAATTATAAAGTGATTGCTTTTACCTGTGAAATAGTTGATATAAATAAATGTCATCAGTCCAAATCCTAAGCAAATTATCCCAAACCACATCGGTTACATGAAGCGAGAACTCTTTTTGCGTTAGAGATGTTAAATTAGCTTTAACTGAGTCCGGCGATATTGGCTCAGCTAACACTGCCTCTACGGTGCCGGCTATCTCTTGAAATCGAATTTGAAAGTACACTGGCAAATTCCATTTCTTGAGAAAATTCTTGTATTGTGGATGATTTCTCAGTGTCGTCAAAATTTCGGGCGTAATGCATTCTGTTTCTAACTTTGTTAAAAACTCTAACGTAGCTGTATATCTCTAAAAATGTGATAACTTATATATTTCTCTCTGGGTATTGATATTACACATTTTTTAATACTTTACTTACTTTATGAAATAGTACCGGATCTCCCGGAGCAAAAATGGATTTTATATATTGCTCGATTTTTTCTTCGATCTCAACCCAAAAGCTATTCACCAAAAAATTAAATCCTTTCATAGACATTCTGCAACATCAATATAATATTCTTATTGTTCTTATTATCAATATAATAATTGATGTATTTATAAATATGTAAATTATATGCATAACCAAATGTAACTTATAAATACCTCTCAGGATGTAATGTGATATCTAACAATTGTTTCAACTCTACATTTAGAATGTTCAATAACCTATGATAAATGCTTTGCAGGCCAAGTGGATCAGTTTGAAGATTATCTTCGTTAACAACATTATAAATTAATGGCCTTACAAGCTCGTATCTAACTAATTCTTCTGCATTTATTATTTTGTCAAGCGTAAGATAAATTCTAAGGCAACGGATTGCCAAACTGGAATTCTTCTCATGTATACATGCCAAGAATAATTCGTTCAGACATGTTACATATAAATTTTCCAATTCTGTAGTTTCCTGTTGAAAAATAATCATTTAGTTTATTAGTTGGCTATTGTTTTTTTTTTATTTGACTATAAACACAGTATCATTTTGTTTCTAAAAATTCGTACCTTTTCTTGATTAACTGAAATATCCGATTTACACCTGGACATATGGAATTTTAATTGATTCAATTCAATTGCAGCCTGCTCCAGAACATCGATTTTTGTGGGATTTTCCATAAACGTTTTCATGCATAATATGGAGGAAAGCTTCCTCAGCGACTTGTATACATGTTGTAAACTGTGCAAACTTTGCTTGCGTTCTCTTATCTTCAGATTGTCATTTAAATTACCCGAAATAGCTGTTATTTCATCATCCAGAGCTTGTCGCACTTGCTGTCAAAACAAAATTCTATCACTAGATCCAAATAGATAACACAACTATGTAAAATAAAGATTCCTGATGTCAATTTAATTCTAAAATGATTAAAACTAACAGAATGTCGGACAGAATTTCTTTGTTATAATTGTACTTCTTTATTTTTACCATAACTTCCTCCTTCAGCTGTCCAAGTGGCGCCTGTAAATCATTGATGGCGTTATCTAGCCCGATTAAATTGCTAGACAGATTCACGAAATCTGTATAATCCCTGTTAATAAGGTCAATCATTGCCGATCTCAGTAATTTTAAGTACATGCCAAGATCATCCCGCATCGTCTCCAGTTTGCCATTCTTCCTGTGATCTTGCAGAAATGTGTCGACATCGAAATTTTCCTACGACGTCAAATATAAGAATATAAGGGAGAGAATATTAAATTTATATTTCGTAAATATTGTAAACGTGGCAATAAGAAAACGTACGAACCTGTACGAAATCGAGTTCGGAGAAACACAAGTCCTTAGGAGCTTTCGGTAAAGTGATATTATTGTTAGACATAATTATATTTATATCCTTCTCTCGCTTGAAGATTAATCGACAACTGTCATTGCAGGAAGACTCTAATTGCTCTCGATATTCAAAATTTCGCTATCGCTAACCCTCCTGTTACGACGTGACAGTTTGACGTCCCAACTTAAAGGCTTCCAGATAGCATCCGCAACGGTGATAACTATATAAAACTCGTATCGCACTGAGCATTAAAAAGTAATATTGTATCTTGATTGCGTGACAACCAATCATGTTTCGCCATACCCCACTATTTTCAAAAAAGCAAAACAATGATTGGTTATCGCGCGAATCGTGTTTGTTCTAGGCGTCGCCACGTGTTTGGTGGACATGAAGTTTCTCGTGCGTTTCCGATCTAAAAGAAGATTATTCTGTATTTTTGACTACACAAAATATCAACAAATATGTCCTAACCTGCAGTGAAAAGAGTAAGATAGAGATCAATTATTGTCTCTGAACTGAATTATATTTAAAATCGTATTTGTATACCAAAGACACTTATTAATATCTATAAGGTCTCTGAGGATCTAAGACAAGAATGAGCATATACGATAATTGGGACGTGGAGCAACATAAAGTAGAATACGAGTCTGACGAGCACTGGGAGTTACGGCGTAAATTTTTGCTGACCCACAAACATAAATTCCCCGAAGATATACTCGTTTGTTTAGCCCAAGTGTTCGTCAATGTCGAACTGTTAGGATGCAGGTAATGATATCTGAGATGCATGTTGTTCTTGCCTTTACATATATTAGGATACTTTTCCTTACATCAGCGGATGACAGAACAATCATCAGACAGAATAGTCTACTGTGTGGCAATATTACTGTGTCAGTTTATAGATGAAATGTTGCTTAGCTTTTTTATTTCACTTCCAGAATAGAATAAAGAAACGGTCTCGTATATCTATGTCTGAATATATCTGAATACAATCTTAAAATCTTTTATCGACTCTTAGAAAAATAAATGATAATAAAATGTAAAAAATTGTATTTATAAAATAATATAAAACGGCGACACAATCGAACATAGCATTTTAACTGTATATATATATATCGACTTGTAACACAGTTAGAAAGCACAGAATTATACACTGTGTTATACATTGTGTCGCCTATGTATATTGCTGGAAATCCTTTGATCTTTGTGGTTAAACTAGTATATATTCATTGTACTTAAAATAGAACTTGGGAGACAAACTGCTACTATAGCTATATTAATATTACTTAGATCAGAAAAATGACTTCTGTCAAGTGTTGTCAGTATTAGTCCATTACTAGGCCTTATGAAACTGTTTAACCTTTTCCTTTAGATTCTTAAATTTAATATAGTCCTAAAATCTATATCTTTTTAACTTTCTTTAATTAATTTCTTCTTATGAAATGATATGCCAACCAAGATATGACCTGGCATCTACTTATGAATCAATCATTCTCATACATATCACTATTTTCCCAGCTATATATACATATGTTTGTATAACTTTCTTACAGATATCCACAAGAAACAATGGATTTAGTCAAAGAATTATCACAAGATGTTGCAGCCGAATATAGAGAAAAGCAAAAGAAAAAGTTACAAAGAACATTTGTGGAAGCATCAGAGGCAGCTAGTTCTAAGGTGAAAGGTATAAAGAAAAATTGTGAGTTGTGACTTAATAATTTTTTTTCTTTTTTTTCGTATTTTATTATACACAATATATATCTGTTATTAAATGTAATAATTACAGGGATGGTAAGTAATGTATTATTTGCCATCTCTCTGGATAATTATATTGGTATTATATTTGAAGGATGCGCTGCTAAAACATCTACTGTCACAGAAGAATCTATACAGAGTATGCCTAATCCTATATCAAACACAGCTAATCATACTGACCAATCTCGTAAAAAAAATAAAAAGCGTTCTAAAAAAAATAAAAAACTTGATACTGAAATGAAATTACTTCCTAATGTCAAAAAAGAATCTATATCTAGTACAATGAATTACAACTATCAGTCTTGTGAAAATCTTGATATCAAAGAAGGACCGTCTAAAAAAATAAAAACAGAGAAAAATGTCTCAGTTCAAAATCATCCATACGAAGACATTGTTCTGTGGGAAAAACCAGGTACTAACGATAATGTACTAAATATACTAGAAATGTCAGCTGGAGTATCTGGTATCGCTATGCGTTGGAAGTACTCTAAAATAGAAGAAGGCTGGTGAGCATATTTTTGTATTATATTTTAAAGAGAAAATTATTTTATGTTTCTACACACACACACACACACACACACACACACACACACACACACACACATTTATATAATGTGTATGCGATACAGCAAAAATTATTATAGAAGATTTCTCAATATTAACTCTTTTTCAGGGAATGCTCTATTATTTTTGACTCACAAAAATTGAGTTGTAGCACTGATATCAATAAGAAAGTAGCTAGACAAAAAGCAGCCATTATTGCATTAGAAAAATTACAGAAACACTGCTATACGGTTAAGGTAAAGGAAAATTAAATGTATCTTTAGTTAGAGAGATAGGGAGATCTTGAAAACCCTTAGCATTGATATTTATGTTATTTTATAATGAATTGTAGCAAAACATAAATGTAATGTTTTTTATCATCGTTGCATGAGAGAGAAAGAGTGAGAGAGAAATACAATTTTCGTATCTTTTTAAAAAAATATTTTTATATACATACATTGTAAAATTTAGGTTAAAGGAGACATAGGTACAAAAATAACTGTAACGACAGAAGAACTAAAGTCTCAGGAATCTCAATCTGAAGACAATTGGAAAGTATCTAATTGTATTGGGAAAAATATGATGAAAATGATGGGCTGGACCGGCGGTGGTCTTGGAAAATCCGAACAGGGTATTGTGGAACCCATGTCTGCCATGTTAGTGAGAAACGACATTGTTCTTTTATTTCTAAAAAAAATTTTATTCTTTTATCTCTTTTGCTTATAAATTTTCATTTTTTTATTTTTAGGGTTAAGACGCAAATAAATCGAGAAGGTCTTGGCCTGAAAAAAAATTCTTATACGGAACAAGAAATAAAAACTAAATGTCGAAAATTATTTAAAGATCTCTTACAAACGGATAATTATTCGCGAAAAGACATTGTGTTTCTGGATTTCCCTAAAGAAGACAGAATTGTGATTCATCAGTATGTCGCTTAAAAGTTACATAACATTTGTAAGAAATGCCATTGAAGGTAACGTACTTCAATCTTTCAGAGTTGCGCGAACAATGGGTCTTAAATCACGTAGTCAAGGCAAGGATCAACGAAAACTGATAGTTTCAAGTAAAGTCAATATATGGAGTTTGGTCAGAGAATTGAACAATCTTGGTGGAGTCACCGAAAAATACGAATTGGTGAAACCGACTGACGAAAAATTCATTTCATTATCAACTTCTACTTGTACATAAAAAGGACAGATATTATATATATTTAAACGATACCTTCTGTGACATTGATGTAGTAGCATAAATATGGATTATATGAAAATAAATAGATAACTCTTTTCAGAAGTCTTTCCGTAATATTTTATTGTTTAAACGATCCAAAAAACAAGCTGTTTGAAGTAATATCACGACGTTCAATATTTTTCTAGCACGCAATCCGAAGTAGCGAGATTCATTCAATTCTTGTTTCTAACGGACATATTTCTGTCGAATGAAAAGCCGTACGTTGTAGATCAGAATATCGCATCACGTCGCCAGTAAAATAGCGCAAACAAATATAAAGGGTGAGACACAGTAAAAAGCAATCTCCTGAAATTGTGATTATGCAGGCAGAGCCTACAGATTCGTAAATAATCATGTTGTTCATCGAGCAATTACAATGTATACGCTCACGCTCGCATGCACGATCAACGAATGAAATCGTGTCGCATGATGCATAATTGGAGACATTAGAATTATTAAAATTGAAAAGAAGCGTTCTCACTTTATTTAACAATTATAATTATTGCGACAAAATCATTCCGAAGTGCGTCTGGCATTCAATCGAATAGAGGAGTACAAAATCTTAAGAAGTGGATGGTTACTTACAGCAGAATGTCGTAAATTGTCGTGTAACTTGACGTATAATAAGAGACTTTGGCAGTAGAACAATCAGAAGTCGAAAGGTAACATATACAGACAATACGACGGTGCGTGATATTTTAATACATTATCACATCTTTGAAATCTCTGATAATTAAATATCTTCTTTTTTTCTTTTTCTACATATAGATCGTGTATATGCATACATATGCGTGCGTACCATCAGTTTGAAATGACAAGGTTGAAGATTACATGCGTCTCTCCTATATAATCACTTCGATTTATTGATTAACTTAACGTTTACTTAGCGATGTATACATATGCATATTACAACAACAATATAACGCAACGTTGTAAATGGGCAACGAGAGCAACGAAACAACGCGTATACGTAAACGTGTATTTAGAAAAAAAGTAAAAAGTATCTTCGTTAATTAATTAATTGACCATGCTATCGCGTGCATAATAGTCAGGTGAAATATTTTCATAAGGGCTGTCACATCAGCATTCACTTGTATAGATTTAAATTTATGCAAAAAAAAACGCCCTTATAAATCATATGTATATTCTATTAACTCAATTATTACATTTTTTTCCTCTTTTGATAAATTTCGCGAAATACAAAGGATTTGTTGAACTGGAAATTGAACTTGAATATAACGCGAAATAGATTTGTTGCTGAATTTGGTGCAGTTAAAAGACACGTGCGAAAACATTACTGTTTCATCGTTTAATTAAGCTATTGTTTAATATTAAATTTAATATTAAATTATTATTATAATTCTCTTTTGCCACGTTACACAATTTTGAAACTGATTAATTTCCATACACAAAAATTACGACGTGATGCAATCTCCCTTATGCGATATGTCGTTTTCAGCCTGACCATTTACACTCAGCGCTGAGTCCCTCTGTTACCTTTTGTCATAATAATGTCAAAAGCACCGATAGGACACTGCGACCATTCGTTACCGAAACTGTGGACGGATCGACAATTTTTCCGAAACCATGCAGTTGCGTCGCTATTTAAATTTTAAATCAGGATAATAATCAAGATGGCAGATTTGTAAAAATCTAATATAGGAATAAGAATAAATGCATTTTAAAATAGATATAAATTTAATATGACATAAAATGTAATAAATTATGAAACATAATTTAATGTATTTTTAATAAAAATATCGCTAATTTTATTCAATCAAGAAAAATATCAATATTACTTGTTTGAACATCGATCAGATACAGTAAAACAGTGAGAGAATATCAAATTGATACATAAACCAGTTCGTCCATACTTCGTGGCTAAATATCTGCAACATATATAAATTATAATAAGGAAACATATAAATGAGGAAGAAGGAAGAGAGAGGGAGGAAAATATAATCTCTTATCATTTCAAGATAATGAGTAACGCGCCTTCGATACGTGGCATACATATGTATATATCAGATATCGGTGGAACTCCGGTCTGCCGCATTCGGGGGAAATAGATTTGACCTTATGACTTACGACTCGAAATTGGGGCCAAAGAGTCAAGGCACGCAACGGAGAGGCGGAGATAGATAGAAAGAGAAAAAGAAAGAACAAGAGAGAGAGAGAGAGAGAGAGAGAGAGAGAGAGAGAAAGGGATGTTCGCGGCGCGCCATGACCCCCCGGTCTGATATGCCCCGTTGTTCACTAAAACACACAAGTTCCCTCGGATTTTGCCCTCGGTCCAGGCCCTACTTTGGACCGTAATTGACATCTGGAGGGAATATTAAATATTTTTTTCTTCTTTATATACCAAAATATTATCTACCATCTGATAAAAGAGTGATTTCTCTGTTGATATGTATTCGCTATGTATATATGTATAATATTTATATACCTCTAGATTCGCTTATGTTAAATTAATTAGAAGATATGTCTCAATGTATCGTTTTCGATTAAAAGATACGCTTAATAAATAGATACGTTGTTACTTTTATCCCAGAAGGGATGCATTATTAATTCTCTCGAGGTAAAAAAAGAACCAGACTCTCGTGCCCGTTCGCGATTTCTCGATTGTCGCAAATAGCACAATTTATATACATATATATTATGTTATGTGCATATGTGTATATAAGAGTGTGTATATATAGAAATTTTTAATGCGTTAATTTTCTTTCTTTAAAGTAAAAGGAAAGCACGACGGGAACCTCTATATACCTCGAGAGAATCCTATATATATATATATATATCTTATACTTTATTTTCTTTTTCTAATGAATAAAACGCGCGTCATACCCTGAAAAAACGCGACGCGATGCTCCGTTTCCTCATCTTTTTCTTTTTATTATTTTTTTGTACCCTTTCTTTTAAAAACGCGTGCATCATCATCGTATTGTATATTACGATTGCATGACGTTCACGAGCACACCGAGAAAAATCACCTGTTCCTTTTAATACGAAAGGCAGTATTTTTACTGCATATTTTTATAATGTTAAACAAGGCTGCTTCATCTTACATCCGCATCCATCAATGCTATGTTAATTAAAACAAAAATTACAATTTGGTACGATGCGGTACAATTATGGATGCGGTGGAAATACTGAATACTTAAATACCGAAGACTTTCTCGGCAAGAAATTTAATTTTTCTTTTCCCTTTTTATTTTTTGTTTGTCGCGGTGTCGCGTCGCGAAACATTTACGCAAAAAGAAATAATTATGTGGTGACGAAGTTAAAATTATGAAAAAATAAAACATACGTAAAAGAACAATCGATTAAAAATGTAAATTTTAAATCAATATACTGTTCCAGTAGTAAAATCCGAATAAAAGCTGTCATCTCTCATCAATATATAAGATTACTCCGCAATTGCAACAGAAATTACGCAGCATCGTCGGACATTACGCTTAAAAGGATATTTTAGGGAAATAATTGAGAATAATCTTTACTGCGTAGTTCTTTTACGCAGAAGTAATTAAGAGCAATGTAGATTCCCACCTTCGACTCTAACTATCGAAACACGTGGTCCAATAGTTGCGCATCCGTGAAAGATAAGTTGCTTCTGGGAGAGCCAATTTTATGGCATTGTGTTTAATAAGAATTACATTATCGGCTTCTTCCGCTCGACCTTTCTACGAAGTAACGTAATTTTGATTAAAAATCATCCCTTGCCACGTGCTTGAGCGTAATTACTTTCTGAGAGCTTCCTCCCACGAAGTTTGAAGTTTGAACTCTCTAAGATTCTTAACAATCTCATTGAGACTCTCTCAGAAGAAAACTTATTTAAGTTTAAGAATTTTAATTTGTTAAATAAATATTTTATCTCAATTACAATCTCATAACACTTCAATCACAATCTCAAACATTTCAATTCTTCGTGTAGATATAATCATAATAAATTTCCCATCAAAATAACTCGCATAGTTTAAGTTTTTGATGCACAACTGTCAGACTGTTATATCACTACCGACCGCGAACGATTGTCATTAATGTTTCATCACTTATGCAAGACACCGTGTATGTGCTCGTATATTTAAAGATACGTACATCGAAGAAAGCCAAGACACGCATACACGTACATAGAGTGAGAGAACCCTAACAAAAGGTTCAGCAAAGTAGCTACAAGAGGAAGCTCAATATTTTAGAAATAGGTCGGATAAAAGCTCATTACTTGTTCACACGAGGAGAGGACCTCGACGCGTATAGTTAGGAAAAGCGATAGAAAACATAAGAGATCCGATTAAATCGTAGCCTGGTGAGAATTCTTCATGCGATTTTTCAAAATTTTTATGTGAATTTCAGAATTTCATATGTATTTTTATAACTTTTTAGAAAATATTTATCAGATTTGTTATATAAATTGAAAAATTTTTCACAAATACTGAGAAAGTTTACATTTTTTCTAGAATTCTTCATATACAGCTTCTTAAATATTCTAAAAGAGAGAAATTCTTCATTTTATCGTTTCTTAAGAAAATTTATAAAATAAAAAAGTTTAAGATATTTTTTCAAAAATCTTCATAAATTTAAAATATGACAAATTCTTAAAAATATAATTTCCTTCATCATATTCATGAAAATCCGATTGCGTTATTTAGGATCAACAATCGCAAAACTTTAGAAGAAGTAAAATAGTAAAATATTATAAAATGTTACAATTTGAAAAGTTAAAAGATAGTAATAAATCGTAGATCGTTCAGAGAATCTTAATACGCTTTTCAGTCATTTAATTATGTTTTTCTTAACGACGACGATTCAAATTCAAATCGAGGCATAATTAAATTTTAGAGTACATTAATCATATCAATCACGTTCTGATTATTGCACTTTCTCCAAGCTTCTCCAAGGATCAACGGTACACTTGACATTACACTTGACGCGTGTAATGAAATTATCCAAACGTGATAGAGTTACGAGATACACGAAATGGAAATCCGTTTGATTGTTCGTCATGCAGAAGATTCGAAATTCGCTCCCTTATACACGGGTCTCGATGATCATCTCGGTGCTCGTGATCACGCTCGGCGCGTTGAAGCGAGAGTAAGAGATTCGAAAAGGATAAGAAAGGAAAGAAAAATGACAGGCTACATCCTGCGCATAAGAACTCGCGACGAAGGAAAGATAGAAGTGCCCGCGGAAAGGATGATTTAGGCTTTATCAAACGAAGGGTCTGCTGATGCGACGACGGTGACGCGACACCGGCGGCGATGCGACGGCGGCGGCGGCGGAACGACGACGATGACGGCGGCGACGGCGGCGACGACGACGGTTTGGCGGCGAGTGTGACCGTTCAATCAAGGAAGCCCGTCTTAACGAGTTTCTCGAGGAAGAACTTGACGTCGCCCAGCTCGGAGTCCTTGATACCGATAGATTTCAGCATGCCCAGATCGCCGTTCTCCACCGCCATGAAAACTGAACGCAGGTGCTCGAGATCCGAGCGCATCAAGTGTAGCGCTGCGCCAAAGTCCTCGATCGTTTGCGATTCTGACGGCCGAAACAGATAGTCAGGGGCCAAGTCACGGGATCAGTTCATTCAAGGATAGAATAGCAACGACGCAAGAAAATCTTTTTCTCTAAATTCTCAAAGTCCTTGTACATCACCGCGTTAATTAAATAAGATAAATGTTTGTTCGACCGACATTTTTTACATGAAGTTGGATTAAAATACTTGCGATTTCGTTCTATAACGAAACGCGGCAATATTGCTGCTTTTAATAGATTTCCGATATACGTGGAAAAGATTTCAGTGAGATATCGGAGAAGTCGAACACATTCTATTCGATCGTGTTCTATTTGTCGCTTTCAGTAGCGGGAAGTGTCGTACATAATTCTAATTCTAAGGAACTTACCCGACAGCGCGATGGCCACTTTTTCCACACCACCGAGAGGTTTTAGCGTATCGCGTGCTTTGGTTCCGAACAATTTCTCTAGGTAATTGGGACCGTGGCTGGCTAGCAGAGATTGCAAAAAACTCGCAGTTTCCTCTACGGGCGGTCGTTTGGCTATAACGGCAAAAAAACAAAATTCCATAAAAATTACAAATAAATGCAAAATGCATAATGATCCACACTACGCCGGGGATCAATAGCACGTGCTCATAAACATTATTTAAATAAATTGGAATTTCGTCCAAATCTCAAAAAAAAACATGGGTATATATAAAATGTTGATTAATCAGTACTTATTACGAGTACGGTAGAAAATGAAATAAAAGATCACGTTTTGCGTCAAACGAGTGCAACAGCAATTCCTCTCTTATTACAGCTGCCTGGTGCAATTTCATGTAACATCGTCGAGTGTATCCACACCCTGCGGTATCCATTCTCTCATATGTATATACATAATGTAAAATTCACGTCAGTAAATATTTATAAAATAAAATCTACTAACGCCAAATCACGAGATAATCCTACGTAAAAAGAGATATAAATCATATTAAAAGTATAAAATATATTAAAAATGAAATCATACGTTTTACTGCGAATCAGTTTGTTTACCGTAATGAGAACAAGATACGTAATTAATAATGTTAAGTGAGTCGCACTGCCAATTAGATCTAATTAATTAATGAATTCCAAATTAAGCTCACCTGCGGTACACAATCTTGAGTCCTCGTCGTATCCATCCTGACAGTCGGGTGCTCCGTCGCAGAGATACTGTATCGAGATGCAAATACCGTCGCCTGGACACTTAAATGGTTCGTACGGATGGCAAGCCTCTGAAACGCACATAATAAATTTTGAACGAGTGAGAAAAATAATTTGAGAAAAGTAAGAAATTAAGAAATTGTAAAATTCACACAAAAATATTATTAAGCACCGAGATCCAAATATAGTCTTCTTCGCTTATTCGAATTAAACTTTGATTTTTATTTTATGATGAGAAAAATAATTAGAGTAATCTGAGGAAAATAATTTGAGGAAAGTAAACTAAAAAAGTAAGTTCGAAACGTACGCTGTTTCTAAATAATCAGAAATGTGTGTGTGTGTGTGTGTATATATGTGTATATGTACAAGCACTCAATCTTATTCTGCGAAAATGAAAATTCGAAAAAATCAATTACGTTCGTCGGTGAGACGGTCGTGAGAGTCACTGGATGATTAAATTACAACGATAACGTATTAAAGTGAGGGATCCGAAACGGAATTAATAAACACGATGTGGGTAATGCGACAGCACGCTTCGTGCAAGAGGCTTTCGGAATAATTGAGCAAACACGCGATCTTATTGTTCACGCTACAATAGCAGGCGCGCGTAAGTTAACGATCCTGAAAAAATCAATTAATCAAACTTAAGCTTAATCTGATAGAACTGCAGGAACAATCGTAAAGCGTATTGATTGTTTGCTCCTTAAAGCTCATAAAATCCTCCTCCCTTCGTCGCAAAGTTTTCCTTGCAATTAAGTCTCCCTATAAGTCTTTCTACACAAGACAGTAAATATTGTCAGATTTTATAAAAGTCGTTCGAAAGTCAACATTTTTATATACTAATTCCATTAAAAAGAAGAACAAAATTTTTCTATATTAAGCCTCTTAAAAAAAAGCAATTTTCTTAGATCCCTTAAAACATCTATCTGAGAATTTTCCGATTCCTAGGAGATCAGACATAAACTGCTTATTATATAAAGAAGTTTTACGAAAAGCTGTATTTCTGTATCTTTACCGGTCTCTTGGAGGAAATGTTTTGAAATATTTTATACGCAACATTTTTATTCAGACACCCCGCTGAAACAAGAAAAACATGAGTAATTTGATACCCGAGAAAAACACGAGTAATTTAATGCATGTATACGACGTATGTTTAAATCAAATAAAAATTTTTATCCAGTGAAAAACAATCCTCGTGACACCCGTGAAAGCAGAAAATATATTGTTCTCGGCGATCGATTGTGTAATATTGTGCCACATTCGTTATACGATCGCCCACGTTCATTTCGCACGTAAACTTAATTTGCACCGCAAACACAGAATACACTGTGTCCATAAAGCATCCTGTGACAGTTAATTTTGATCATATTGAGAATTCGATATCTACGTATCGAACCATCGCGCAACGGCGCGGCCATCAACGTTATTAAATTATCACGCACATACGTCACATACGTTCTCTTTTTCCATCTACTGTTAGACCATGTACTGTTTAGACAGGGCGTTTTTACGTGGGTTTCAGGCAAATATTTCACCAACGAGAAATCTATCCGGATCGCGTCCCATATTTGTCTCATATCAAGGATTGTTGCATCAAGTTTAAACCGGTCATGGGATATTATTAAATTGCACGAGCGTGAGCGTCGCAATTTTTCTCACATGTTTAGATAAGACTCCTACGTATTCGTGGGCGTTTCTCATCGGAGAGACATTACAAATATTTTACCGATCGACGTCGAGCGATGATTCCCCGGAGGGTTGCTGTTATCCCCGTGGGACCGCGACCTCGATGCATTTCAAATGAAATAGGTTCGTGGAGGGAATATTAAATAATAAGATTATGCCTTTTTACAGATGGGAGATACCTAGACAGGTTTAATGAATGTTAAATACAAGCGGTAACTATCGGTTTCGATCGGTAACTACTACTTTGAACTTTTATTCTCTGTACGCACGCTACGGAGAGAGTTTTTATAATATAAACTTTTCGAAGCTTTATTCGCGCATAAAAGTTCTCTCCATATAGGATACGAGTTACAAACAGAGTTTAAAAGCGAGCTTAAATCCACTCGAAGAGAAAGTTTCTACAAACTTTTCTCATCATCTCGCTGACGACCGAAAGATGAAAAATAAATAGACAACTAACTTTACGTCAACTAACATCTTATTTTTAAAAGCAATTTCTGTTTTATTAAATTTTCGGGAGCATGTTTTATCGACTGTACCTCTCTCATTTGACCTTTTACTCATTTCTTATTTTTATTGGAATCCGCAGGAAAAAAAAACGACTTATTATTTCTCGATTAAACGTTACTCTGGAAACGTATATTAAGATGATGACATAAAATGGGAAAAATTCTGCATAAGAGATAATCAAAAGGATTGACAGAAGAAAAATAATTCAATAAAAAAACAAAGAATAAGACAAGGAGAATACTGGATATAATATTTTTTATATCAAACCGTCGTGAGAGAGACAGAAGTTATATTACAGTGGAAGGGGGTCTAAATTTTATTCTAGTTAGCGCAATTTTTTGCGCGATATCATTTTTTTTTCTTTTTTTTTTTGAGAAAAAATAGATTTATGCAATAGATAATTATGAGAAACAGGGAGCTTGGTTGAGAGAAGGGATATTGGATATAATATTTTTAGTATCAAAGCACGGTGAAAGAGATGGAAGAATTATAAAGTGGGTCTAAATTTTTTTAGTTGACGCAATTTTGCAATCTCATTATTCTTTTTTAGAAAAAATAGATTTGTGCAATAGATAATTATCAGAAACAAGGGAGATCGGGTGAGACGGGGTATATTGGATATAATATTTTTAGTATCGAAGCACAGCGAAAGATGGAATTATAAAATAGGTCTAATTTTTTTTTAGTAGGCGCAACTTTGCGATATCATTACTTTTTATTAGAAAAAAATAAGTTTGTTGTCAATAGACAATTACGAGAGAAACGGGGACTTGGGGGTGAGACAACGAATATTAGATATGATAGTTTTAAAATCGAAATGTATTGGGTAAGAGATAGAAAATAAAGTGAATTTAAAGTGTTTCAATTGGTGTAACTTTGCAATATCATTACTTTTATTTAGAAAAATGAAATTTTGTTTCGCAATAAATAATTACAAGAAACGGGAGCGTAGATAAGGTAGGGGATGCAACGACCGCATGAAACCCGCTTCGCGGCATCCTGGCTCTGAATAGCCGCGAACTGAGTAAAAACGCGTGTTTCTAAATGTCATCGGCTATATGTGACTCGGTACGCGTTAAGTATGCGCGTTATTGACCGAGCGATTGTGCATGTACACGTAACTAACCAGAGTACAGCCATACGGCCGAGTTTCAACGAAATATTTCCGTCATAATTCTTCGGACCTGTTAATTTTAATGAATGTTTATTAGGAGAAACATGATAATGTAAACGACGACAGTATCTCTTGACAGCTTCCTCTTCATTCCACACCCTTATAAATGTCTCGTTCATATAAACGGTTACTTTAGCTTACTTCCTGTGAGCTAAAGCTTACACGTGTATCTACGTATACCTCGAATGTTACATGTGAAAGAGAAAGTTTTTAATTATTTCATTTTTAATTTTTATCTCTCGAATTGATGATTATATTCTTAAGTTAATTTTAAGCGGATTTTGCTTAGAAATTCGTTACTTGTGATTCGATTACATAATAATTTGAATAAATAAATATGTATATAAAGCTATAAGAAGTTGGATGCAATGAATAATTTCTCTAAATTCTTGTAAAGTCAAGAATTCTCGTCGAAGAATTAATTAGATGACGGTGGAACAGCTTATATGTATTTTAACGTATGTGAGATAAGGATTATATATGCAAATTCGTTCGTAAGTTTCATGTAAAGTTAATATGTTTAATTAATATATGCCTGCAGTAAGCTTCTCTAGTTAAAATTTCGTAATCACGTGAGCTGTAAATTAGTCTCTCTCTGTTATAGTTTCAACGGTTGCAGTAGTTAAAATTAGGTTTGGACAGACAGTATAATGCATGAGTTATCCTTCAAATGTCTATGTGTCTTATTTATATATTCTCTAGAAACATTTGACGTTGCATAAAATAAATAAATACATGTTTAAATTTATCATAAACAATTAAAGCTGTCATCAAATTGTTACAACTTTATATATACATGCAAATTATTAGTATTCGTTAAAAAAATGTAAAAGCACATAAAATGTAGTAAATCGTGAAAATATATTGTAATAAAATATTCCGATATAATTTTTATTTTAAATTACAAGATGTTCAAGCGAAAAGAAAACAACTGGTAAGAATAAAACTAAGTATGAACGATTACGAATATTTGAGAAATTTTAGTAATATTTGATTACTGCTTTTAAATAACTTTATATATAGGTATACTGTCGATGTACTGTAATAAAAACAATAAAGATAAATTCCATAAGGTAAATAAATCAATTAAATAAATGTTATATAAAAATTTATGTAGAGAGCAGGAGGCAAAAAAAAACTGTGTATGTTTTATTATGATAAAAATTTTACAAAAAAAGACATGGAAAAAATAATTATTTTTCAAATATACGAAAAACACACACATTTCATCATTGAATATTCTACAATTTATAAAATCATTCGAGATAAAAGTTTCAATTAAAAGTTTAAAATTGTAATATTCTTATAATAGACGTTTATATGTGCAATTCCTTAGATTTTCTCGAAAAGAACTTTAAAGTAGTATTTTTTGTGTAGAACCATCTGCGTGATTTTATTTTTGCGCGATTTCTTCCATGTGATCGCCTTACGATTGCGCGCCTAAAACTCGTGGTCTCGTTGGCAATTCAGAATAATGCTTTATCGAAGATAATTTTTGTCGTTTCCTAATTCTATCATGTATAGATTTCCCGTTATCGACTTACCCGAACGTTTCGTGTTGAAATGACCGTAGAAGCGGCTGAGGTCGATCGCCATGACGGCGCGCGGAAAAGCGGCGCAGGCCGTCAGGGCGATGCCAAGTGCAACCGCACCGTTGCAGAATCTCCGTACCATCCTTGCTTCGCGAATGCGTTTACAAGTTACAGACGGGCGCTCTTTTATCTTCTTCTTTGCTCTATTGCTGCTGTGACGACAAGTCGAGTTCGGGCTCCCTCTTCCTCTCTCTCTCCCTTTTTCACTTTTTGCTTGGGAGGGGACTTCTCTTAATTCTCCCTGAAGAAAATCCTTGATTGAAAATCCTTCCTCCTCGCGAACGCGAACCCGGTAATGTATCGTCACCCTCTCGCGAGAATCACTTACTCGCTCGCTCGCTCGTTGATATCTGGTTGTATCTGATGCGCCACCAATGACCAAAGTGTTGGAGTAACTCCTCGGGGTGGCTCGCGCAAGGTCCCTCGCCCCGAGAGCACTTGAGCACTCCGCTTCGGCTGCGCTGCGTCTGTAATTCTGTATGCGTGGGTGCGAGCGAATGTTAACGGCGCGGCGAGGTCGCTCTCACCACCCACTTCGTTCTCGCCCTTTCTCGGAATCTTTCTGGTCTCTCGCTCTCTTGCCACCCTCCTTCTCCCGCTTATGCCCGTAAGAAAAAGATCCCTTGTGATCCCTTGCTGGACGTGTGACGGTGACGGTGACGGTGCACAGGCTGCACAGCCACACTGCGAAGTGCGAAGTGCGAACACACGGTATACACCTGTGCCACGCGATCTCACCTGCGCCTGCGGCCGGCTCGTGTTGGTAGGTTGGTACTTGGGGAGGGGGAGGGGGAGGACGAAGAGGACGCGTGGGAGACCGGTCGACCAATCGGCCGTTGGGTTACGCTCGATACGACCAATCGACGAACGCGAGATCACAGGTCTACCCTGGAACACCCACGCTTGCCGTTGCGCTCGCATCGATTTCAACCCCTCGTCGCCCAGTGACGTAAACGAGGGGTTGATAACGTATTCAACTACGATGCGTCGGAATTATTAAGATCTTCATTTTTTTTTTCACCGTAGATATCTTTTATCATTACATTAAATTTTCACATAATCGGCATACTGATATTTTCTCCTTTCTTTATCTCCCTCTTTTCACCAAGTATATTCCTTCTTATCACGCTCCGTTCCCAATTCACTGTTACGCTCCTGCCTTTCTCAATAGGTAAGTTTCGCTTGTCGTTACAAGCGTATACTTTTAAGCACCCGTGATAATATGTCGACGTTTAGTAATTTTATAGCGAATCCGCTGTTATCTAGTTGAGAATTATCGTAATTACTCGACGTCGTGAATAATAGCTTCTCAAACGGCGCGCGATACTTTGGCTGCATCTTTAAATGAGATTGATAAATAATCGTCACGTAATCGTCGAGTAGTACCGTTTACCGCAATAGAACATCGCAATATCGATTACTTTCAATCGCAAAGAATGAACGCCCGGAATTTGCGTAGATTATTCAGCGCAATGTTCTAAATAAATGAAGATACTACGTTAAACACGAGAGAATATACAATATTATATTCAATATTGTATATTATTACGAAACTGTTAATAATAATTTTGCAATAGTCAAACTCCAGTGATATATTTCTACAATCGAAAAAGTTTATTGAAAATTGAAAAAAATTCTGTTATTTTATTCTTATAAATTCTATGGGTTTAACCGTACTCATTTGTCATTTTGGTCAAACGTTCTAATTTTTTCTTCTTTTATCTTTTCTTTCTAACTTTATACATATAGAATAGCAAAAAAAGAAGGAGTACATTTGGCATTAATGATGAAATTGATAAGAAACTTCGATAAAAAAAGAATAACAGATGTATTGTGTCCGAATGATGAAAATATAAACGAATAATACAATGTCTATGTTATATATTTATTGTTAGAAAATTTTCCTTCCCTTGTTAGCTATAAAATTGAAGAAATCACACAAGGAAAAAATTATTCTTTTTAATTTATAATTTTTAATTTAATTCAATGTCGATTTTATAGAACTTGGAGAAGCCTCTATTTATAAGATCTCTTTCCAGGAAGATGAAATGCGGTTATTCGATAGTTATCCAAAAGTTATTACGTGGATTAGCATCCTACGCACACTTTCATTTTATTTCATTTCACACTTTTCTTCTCCTTACGATTCTTCTTCTACAGTACTGATACGCGAAATTCATTATAAATATTTTTAAAATACAACTTTTCTTGATATATTATCATAATGATTCGTAAAATTTAAGTATCACAATATTCTAGTGATATATTTCTAGGGTTGAAAAGATTAAAATTTATTGATATAAAATTATTCCTTTTTTTATATATAAAATTATTCTATTAAATTAAACAGAAAAAAATCTGTTATTTTATTTTTGTAAATTCTATAAATTTTTTTTACGACTCGACGATTTATAGATTCGGGTTTAATCCCACATAAGCAATTTTTCGCGTTTAATATTGAAGGCGCATTTGCCTATGAGACGTACTTACCGCGTATCGCGTAACCATGTAACTAATCAAAAGTGATCTTATTACAAATGGCTATGTTGCGTACAAACGCGAAAGAATGTGATATATATTGTACAAACAGAGATTCATAAATAAGAGACATCAGGCATGTATCAAACGATGCCGGAAATATTGATGATAGTGCCACTGCTGTTATTTCATGTCTTATTGATTACTGACTGATAACACGGTTATGCGATTACGCAAATACGCTTTATGAGACTCCAGCATAAGGAGCCGAAAATGACTCCATTTGATGATATTAATAGTGTATTTGATTTACTGAGACTCGATCCGAGTCAATGGTCTGGTTTTTTAGCTGCATTTCTTAGCTGCTCTCTACAATTTAGCTCTTCTTTTGCAGCTAAATAGAACATGCTATAAGAGATCTTTAATCATCAGCGTCGGATCCGGCGTTAAATTGTAGGTTCCATAATTCGTCAACATGCCACGCATGGCAAGTGTGTATAATGAAGACCATGTATAATAGAAAACGCGACATGAGAGATATTTGTCATAAAGTTTTGTATTCTCAGCGTCATATTTTATTTAAAAAGTGATCATAATAATTATGATCATATTATTTTTAAAATTACATATAATAAGACAGAATAATATTAGGTGTTGGAATTAATTCGTAGCGTTTTTTAATGAAAGAATGTTATTTATTTCACATGAGCATTAAAAAATACATTAATGAAAGTACTTCCCATCACTTGTAAAACGCTACGAATTAATTCCAATACCTAATAAATATGTAAAAAACTAGAAGGAATGTAAACAACGGAAAAATTTAATGTATAGCTAATTTCACAGTTTTAAAATAATAACTATACAATTTCATGTAATTATTGCTTTAATTTATTTAACATACATTTACATGTATAAAAATTTTTTATATGAAATCCAATTCATTTTTATAGATTTAAAATATGGATTCGGATTTAAAATGGATTGAAAATTTCCAATCCATTTTAATCCATTTTCGATTACTAGGTTCTTCAGTATCGTATCCTCGATAAAATTATCGGCATCATCATCGATCTTTACGCTTTTGTCGACGATTATTTGTTTGTCGTTCTCCCTTGAATTATTCAATTTCCTCCTCGCTGTCAGAGATGACCATAGAATCGCCTTCGACTCGATAACCTGAATCACGCCACTGCGTGAAGCTCTGTTCCCTCTGTTCCATTTCTTGAATCAATCCATAGAAAGTAATTATCAATCTAATATATATAAATATAGTTATTTATCTTTCTATCTCATGAAGCAAAATATTCTAATATTCTAATCGTAGAAAGTAATTGTCAAATACAATTTAATATATACGAATATAGTTATTTATCTTTCTATCTCATAAAGCAAAATATTCTAATCATTATTGTATTTATTTATCATTCATACATTATACTTGCAATATTTGACGAACTCATAAGATACTTACGTTTGTAATGCGATCAAGAATTGAATTGTAGATTCTTTCCTGGTAAAAAAAAATTAATTAATTGGAACATAATAGTCATAAATGTAGAGAGAGAGAGAGAAAGAGAGAGAGAGAGGGAGAGAGAGAGAGAGAGAGAGAGAGAGAATAATCGAAATGTAATTTAAATAATTTTCTAACAGAAAATTGAGACAACGAAACGTAAAAAAGGCGTATACATTGTACTTACTTCTTTCATGTTTCATTGTTTTAATTCCCGCCTCCTTCTAGAAGGTCTAGCGTTCACGCTTGTATTACTTTCCCCTTATTCAACTTACGTACACTCCAATTTTTATTTTCGCCAGGATTTTCCTCTCTTTTGTCTATTTTTTATTATAAAAACTGTACTTCAAAAAAGAATAACTCAGTTAGGACTCATTTGTATAAACTTGTTTCGAAAAACTTTACACATACTTATTTGAACGTAGCAACATCGGATCCACTATTGGAAATCATGGTGAGAACTTGAAGTTCTCACTGCATATAATAGTGCGAGACAGTGCGAAGTAATCGAGCCAACTTCAAGAGGAATTATCGGTAATATCTCGACGTATTATCACTCGTTTTCATACATATACGTGAACAAAGTGGATCATCGCTTCTCTTTTTTCTTTCATCAGATTTGAATCAAAATTTGCGATTATAGAGAATCGAAAGATTATCGATATTCGTGGTCGAGATTTATTATGCCTCTTCCGCTTCTAGAGATGTCACAGTAACGCAGGGCGCACCAACCGATTTGAGCTGATTTGAGCCGATTGTGATCGTGTAAACAGACGAGAATGCGTTTGGCCTGATGATCGCGATGCAATCCGACATCATGGAGGATTTGAAGATTAAATTTTTTGGCCTCATTAATAAGCAGGCAAGCCCGTTCACGAATACTCCAAGCGAATATCATAATACGCCAAGTATAAGCGCGGCTTTGTTGCGTTGTTAGGAATTAGGTTATGTGACGACTCGGAAGTGATGTGTACAGTTGAATTTGACGTTTCGCTGTCAAAATAATATTGCGATACTTTTTGTACTTCTTATCTTCGTAATTAGTTTTAACGAGGACTAGTGATAAAACAGTAGTTTTAAGAATGTAACACTTTAATATTTAATTATATTGTCTCTCTCATGACAATTATATTTATGTCACAATATGTTTTATTTAAATATATCTATACATTATAATTCATCTATATTTAATATTTGTATTGAATCATGTGTAAATTCAAATTACTTATAATTTTCATATATGTACATCTATATAATTCAATAATACACATATTTGTGCTATAAAAATATCCATTTAATCTCGACTCTATTATTAGTATTATCTGATTATTAATTAAAATTAAAGAAAATAATACTCTTGATTTGAATATACATACACATACATTGCCTACATTATTATTAAAATAGATGAAATCCATAATTGTTTATCTTCTATAGAATGCGACCAAAGTGCCACTTATGGGCTTGAATCCAGATCTACTTAATCCACCTGACTTACAAAAATGTGAAGATCTTTGCTCCGAGGCGGATCAATCAACAGAGAGTGAGCCTGTACCTGATCAGGATGTGTTAGACTCTATCGAAGATGTTTACTTCAATACTGATGGCAGTTTTGATTCATCACGCTATGAACTAAACAAACTGCCAACGATATTGCAACCTAAGGAAATTGAGAAATGTTATAAGAAACTTAAGCAGCAACATCAAGTTGTCTCCAAGAAAGTGTTGCAGCTTATTTTACAAAAGCAGAGTGCTTGTAAAGCGGAATTTGACAAGATTTTGCTGCTGCAGGACCAACTAGAGGCTGTTTTAGAAATATGTAAGATTGGAAGGGCAGATCTACAATTAGCTGAGAAACAATTTACCAAAGCGAGTTTAGGCATATTAGCTAACTATCAGAGACGACAAGTAATTCAAGAATTGTTAAATAGTTTAAATACCATAAAGACCCTGGTAAGTTAATTTATATTTTATGTTTGTCTTTAAAAAGATTATCTCAGACAACACAAAATTCAAAATCGAAAGACATACGTCTTTAAAAGTCTAAAATTGGGATCTTAAATGTTTTTCAGATCACATCTCATGCTCCAATTTTAGACTTGATATTGTGTGTGTGTGTGTGTGTTTGTGTTTGTGTTTGTATTTGTATTTGAGTATTCCTTATAAAAAGCTAAATCTTAATTTCATGTCACATTAAACGAATTGAGGGTCTTTTATACATTTTAAACCTAATTATTTTGTAGCAATGTACAGGAGATCGTCTGCAAGAGCTTCTAAATGAAGGGAATTATCCTGGAGCTATATCACTTCTTTTGGAATGCCAGAGTGCCGCTCAGACTTACAAGCATTTCCATTGTATTGCTGAATTGAACACAAATTTGCAAAATATTTTAGATCAAGCGGAAAGGACTTTAGACAATACTCTCTCTAAAATGTGCATTGAATTCGATGTCACAGTGTATTCTTCCATTCAGGAAGCATATACATTGTTAGGAAAGACTCAATCCGCCATGGATCAATTGCATATGCATTTCACTGCTGCCATTCATAACACGGCGTTTACCGTTATCCATCGCTATGCGGGAGGTGATGTGAAAAGACAATATAAACAACTGTGTCAGGCTGTGCCTCGTGAGACACGTATAGCTTGTCTCACGGAACTGTGCAAATCATTGTGGACAATACTGAATTCGTATCATTTAATTGTAAATTGGCATAACGTACAAGAGGATAAAATCGAGTGTAAATCCGATATTAAGGATTTAGAAGTGACTTTAAGCAAGCAATACGTCAAACACAAATTAGAGAACGGTATGGTCCGAGTATGGCACGATGTGGAAATGAAAATATCGATATATTTGATGAACACGGATTTGACAAATACAAAGTTTGAACAATTTGTTCAGGTATTGGGTATAGTTAACAGGTAAGTATATAATATGTAACAATAATTATCAGTCGGTAAATAAATGAACTATTTGTTAAACTATCTTAATTTAATTATAGGTTGATGGAAATTGGGGAAGACCTCTGTGGTTTCAAGTCGGAGAATTTGCAGGAGTCCATTAAAAAACAGTCCCTATCTTACTTTTCTCATTATCACGCATCTCGTTTGGATGAATTGAAAATGTTTCTGGAAAATGACGGTTGGGAATTGTGTCCTGTGAAATCCAATTTCATGGCTACCCAATTATTGGAGTTTCGAAGTCTGAAACCTTCGCTCAATAATTGTAAAACGTGGAATAGTCTAGATAGCTCAACCTTAAGCGATAGTGATAATTCTACGGGAGTTGACTTGCAGAAATATCTGGAAGGTGGTTTGTCACCATTTACAATAGGATTGGATGATACTATGGATGAAGATATTTTAATGAAAGATGATGTAGGAAAATCATTAAATCAATACATTTAAAACGATAGATTAATTTTATTTTTGTTAAAATAAATCTATATTATTGATCTTTCATATTTTCTTCTTTAGATTGAGCAACCTGCGTATTTTTCGGACGAGTCCGACGAGGATATTCCCGATGAATTGAAACATGAATATGTCGACGAACCGGATCACACAAAAATTAAAAAGAAGTGCAAACTCAAACAATCTGGACCTATGGTTACAAATACGACGTTAAGCATACTGAGAGTGTGCGGCAAGTATCTACAGATGTCGAAGCTTTTACGATCAATCGCGGTTACTGTCATACAGAGCATGATACAATTTTTCGAGCTATGCTTCTACACAGTACACTTATTCTTTACATCGGATCTCGTAAGTTCACATTACGATTCTTAATTACGTTCGCATGACCGGATTCAATTTAGAATACGATTTTTATTCTTGCAGCAAATCAATAGTGACTCGTTGTACAGTCCGAAATTAAAATTATCTTTAGCTCGAATCAGAGAAACATTGATTATCTCTGAGAACGATACAATGGAAGAAAATGGCAATGCAAATTATGATAAAGTAAGACAACCACAGCTTTCATCCATTGTGAACTTGTCACAGCCCGAAAAACTTTACGGATTAACGGAACGTATTGTAGCTGTCGAGTCTCTGATATTTCTAGGACAACAATACGAAGGTTTAAAACCTTATTTAGAGCATCTCATTGTCAATAGTCCTCAGAGAGGATTTTTACATCAATTTTATATGCAGACGATAGCGTCTGCCGCCGACTTAAGAAAACCAGTCTATATGGCGGTAACATCGCAAACGTTTGACATTATAAATATTTTGAATTTAATGAACAAAGTCAATTGGGAAGTGACGGACGTCATGTCTCAACACAGTAATTACATTGATGCACTAATCCAAGTATGTATTAAATAAAATTTGTTAAACTATATTTCTTAAAAAATTTGTCAATCATGACATTGAACTATATAAATAACTATAATTTGATATTTTTTCATAGGAAGTGTGCACTTTGAATGAGAGACTTAATACTATTGGAACGTACATAACTTTAAATACGAATATATGCAATGCAGTATGGGAAAATGTGGCTCACTTGATTACACATACTTTAGTGGAAGGGTAGAAAATTTATAATTATAGTACTTTCTGAAAGTACTTAATATTTTAAAAGAACTACATTCAATTAATAGAAATATAATTTTGTCACTCTAGGTTTTCCAATGCTAAAAAATGTTCCAATGGTGGTAGAGCTTTAATGCAACTCGATTTCACACAATTAAAGTCAAAATTCGAGAAAGTGACGTCGTTAAGACCTATGCCACATAGAGAGTATGTTGAACTGTACATCAAAGCCTATTATCTTCCTGAAAATAGCTTTGAAGAATGGATTAAGGAGCACAAGGTATCTATAATATTCATAGTATTACACATACCCACACGTACGCCCGCCCGCCTGCACGCACGCACGCACGCACACGCACACCAGACATTTTTTATTCTTTACCTCCAATACTAATATATAAAATGTATCGTTATGACTTGCAGGAATATTCAGTTAAACATTTAGTCGGTCTGATTTCGGCGACGTGTCAAAATAATAAGAAAACACGGCAACGATTGATAGCACTTGTGGAAGAACAGCGGCCCAATAGATAGCATCCAACCATTTATTATAAATCTGTACAAGATTATATCGAAATAGGAAGTACTTGAAATGTTTATCAAAATCAGGGGTACGATAATCTTGTTGTTAATTGTACAGTATATAGAACAATTTTTAAGTACGCGTTACAAAACTGATCAGATATATTCGTGTTTAAACTATTTTATGGAATTTAAATCTCCAAGAGAATCACAATCACGAACCAGGCAAGTCACATTTCAATATATTTCTGAAGTATTCTGTATATGAATCTCATAATTCTAAGAACGCTTTTACAATGTACTAACTGTAGCTCTAATGTATATATTACAAATGTTTTAACATATACATTGTATTTTAGAAAATCTATAGTTAGTTCACACGCGAATTAGTACGATGGAACTTTAGTTTATTTGTAATATGTCAAGATATTTCTCAAATATTATCAGTTATATGAATCTCTCATTTATGAATCTTGGAATTTATAATTGAACTGCAGTATTAACACGCGACACCGTGATAACTAAGAACTCGAAATGTTGATTTACAATGAAAGTTATATGTATATGTATGATCTATATGCATTGCGACAATAATTTGAGAAAAAAATTTTTGAAGTATGATATTGTCATAATATTTTAATATTTGTCTATTTTAAGAATTTTATTTTATATAACTTTATTTTTGTAAAAATGTAAATCACATGAAATATGTGATGTTTTTTTTTTCTTGAGATTATATACTACTGAACTTCGATTTAATAACAAGTGTATTTCTGAAGCTAAAGTGGAAAATATGGAAGATGTGATGTGATTAATATTTGCTTTTACAAAACTAATTATAATGATTGTCGAAATAGTAAAACCATGACTCCTCAATAAATTTTAACAATATTACTTATTTTATATTACTATTAATTCAGTCTTATGTAAAAAATTAAGAATAATATATATTAAAATAAACTAATGAAAAAAGTAAACTGTAAAGTATCTTTAGTGCTTCTATACCCATGAATTATTATTACCCATAAGAAATTGCTACATGTTCATTGCATGGTACATATGTATATATACCACAGCATGCACAATTTTAAGAAATTTTTATTATACAAATGATAGTAATATACAAGTACATATATACTTTCTAGCTTCGTCGATTTCCGATTTCGTAAAAATTGCTATTTATATATTGCATTTATTATATATTTATATTCCATATATACACCATAAAACCAAAAAGCTCCTGTTGCACCAGTAAATGCTCCTAATCGAAATTATCTTAATGCCCGAGATTCTTTGTGAACAATCCACTCTTCCTATCCCGAAGAACACAGATTGCTCGTTGATTTAAGGAAGATTCCTAAAGTGTTAATTATAATTTATTTGAATCAGTATATGTAAATAGCTTTATATAATATAACATTCGAGGGCCATATATAATTAAGAGTGTAACATACTATATAGACTATTCAAACAATAGGAATAAATATGTAAATTAACAGAACAGTATTGAGTTTCTCCTTTATTGCGCTAAGTCTTCCTTTCTTCTAAGGCAGATATTTCATTCTCGGAAATATTCTATTCATGATCATGGTGCATTAGGAATTCTCTGGCTGATAGCGTCGATTCATGTGTAAGCTGACAGCGTCGATTTACGTGTAATATTATTTCTTATATTCCGAAGCGCTTTAATGAGCCTTAAATTTTTTTGTATGGCCCCTGATAAGATATACTTATCAAATGTCATTAATTTTCTAAATGGCAAAACACACCTGGATATTCTTTCTTCTAATGAAAAGATGCGTATATGTGTATATATGTATGTATATGTAAATAAAAGAGATGAAATGCTACTGTATGCTTTTTATCTTGAGTAAAAATCTCCAGCGCATCTCTCGAGAGCAATAAAAATGTTAGAGTCTTTATATAACATTGATAATATCAAATTGTCTAAAAATCGTAGCAAACAACACATCTAAATATTTACGAATGTCTTCTTTTCTGCAAGACAGTGCAACATAATATCATAACAAACCTATTTGTTTACTGAATTGAGTTTACAGACTACGTATTTTAGAGTTCGAGATTTATAATCATTTATTGGCCTTTTCATTACTTTATCTCTTAGCTCCAAATACGCGAAATTTATTAAGTTGCTACTCGTGGATATAATTCGCCGTGTAATAAAATTACAGTAATTATCCCTACAAACTAACCATATAGATTTTTCTGTAATGCTGTAAAATTTTTACTATGTTCAGGCTTTGGATATTAGTGAAGCAAAATAGTCGATAATCCTGAATTACCTCTCTGATTATATTTCTTATTTTATATTTTAATATGTTGAAATATGAAATAGTTTATTTACTTAATAAACTAAATTTATATTTAATAAACTAATAATATCATGTAGGATATATCTTCTGTGTGTGTGTGTGTGTGTGTGTGTAAAAAAAATTTAGAATTTATTTTCTTTCTGAAACTTATATTGTCTTGGAGCGACTCTTTTCCTTGCCTATGTATTTTTCTTTTTATCAAAACGCCATTGAAATAATATTTTCTATTAGTCCTCGAGAAACTTTTTCGTATATATATATATATATAATTCGTTATTATCATCTTTTATCTTTATAGCATATTAGTGTGGATATATGGAACACATAAGACGCTCGACATATTAGCTGATCATATCAAACATATTTATATACATAAAACTTCGTCAATTAACATCATAACATCACATTTAATAAGAGAAAATGACTTCTGCTAAAGCTGACTGTAAAAACGTAACACAATTATATAATATTATACGATTAGAAAGGGTACACAATAATGATAGCGCTACTTGAAACGGTGTTGTGAAAAAAATGTAGAGATTACGAGGTTGTTACAATACGTAGCCATAGAGTGCAAAGTAATATGTCTAATGTTCTCCGAAAAACAGCTCCGTATTTCCAAAGCCTGATTATGATTTTTATACAGATGATGCACGTTCAACCTCACACCATCTCTTAAGTAAGATACTTAACATTAATGGTACGGATGCTGAGGAAGTTATACAAACTTACGTCTGGAAAAATCTCTTGTTATAATCCAAGTAGAAGATTATAGATATTCATAACTAAAACATTTCTCTAACAGACTAATTCGCTAATGTATCATGGAATGTAAACAAGGTGTCAATGCATTCACAAATTACAAGGAGTGAATCATCACTGTTATTTACTCGTAACTTAATTTGATTCGATAATCATACATAAACATTTTGTGAACACTTGTTAACTTCTATGAATCAGTTATGAATCTCGAAGTATATTCTTACTAATCTTACTCTATAGATTATGCTATGAGAAATGAAATGATTGATGATACGGAAACATTTATCTCATCCGTTTAAAATGTCCTTAACGACCCGATCGTTACCTAATATTAATATGCTTTATTATCCGATATTCACTTAAATAGTAAAAAATATTGGCAGATTCAATGCTGTTATGTTCTTTGAAACATTGTTTTCTCTTCGTTTTTTTTTTGGTTTTTGAGCTCACAGTATCAGTAAACCGATAACTCCTTATTGCATTATTTCTTATTCCGCGATTTGTGCGTAATCATAATAACAATCGGTAAACAATATGAAAGAGATGAAAACTAATTTAAAACACAAATTTGGAAGACATCACAAAAAAAATAAATGAAAAGTAATATTTCGGCACAAAACTTTAAACAACAAGGATGTTTATCAAGAGAATAATTTTGCTGTACTATATAAAGCCTCAATACAGATATTTTAAATTTATTCACGTATCGTACTCACGGGCTATATGTATGAATATTATATAATACACATTAGATAGCATTTTGACAACAAGATATTACGAAGTTAAAAATCTCTACCTGCGTTTCATTAAAAACTTGAGGTACTTGCCGCTCAAATAACAGTTAGATATTAGATATGATCCTGCAAAGGTAAAGTTATACAGTATACTAATCCTTGTGAATCCGTGAACCTCTTAATATAACTAGATTCTCGTAATTTTTTTTTAACTTGTACAATTTGTGTCTCATGAAATAGTACACTTGTGTGAATATGTTACATGTACAGAGAGCGGTATTAAACCCGCTAGCGTAACTTTATTCGGTAATTATTTCCATGACATGGGATAAATAGCTAGTATAACAAAGGTTACGCGTAAACCCTTGGTACCTCGTTTACAATAAATTACTATTTCCCTAGGAGCGATATTATTGGAACACACCATTAATAGTCATCTTTATATCATTTCCCTTTTTTTTTCCTTCTTTTGCATATGTGATAACTGTACTAGTAAAAAAGATGTTGTCAAATATATCATTGTCAGTTGCTGTTCGTCTTGATGGAGCCTCCATATGATAAATTAAAATAAAAAATACAAAGCAAACGTATATTCTCTGTATATATAACTAATTTGTGAAAAATAAATATTTGCTCATAATTTATGATTACTGGTTAACCACGTAAGGCCTTCGTAAAGCCCGTCTCCCGTTGTGGCACAAGATGGCTGAACGTACCAATTTCTATCTCGTATCCTAGTTAATCCCAGTTTCTCTTGTATTTCGTGCGGTTTCATTGCTAAAGAAAAAACAAAGTACGGGCGAAAATTCGTATGTTGTGCTAAGCTATATAAAGATAACTGTAGCACATGTATATAATGCATTTACTTTAATATTTATATTTATAACTGCTAACAAATATCGTAAAATAAACATGACTTACCATCCGGAAGATCTTGTTTATTAGCAAAGATTAAAATTATCGCATCACGCATTTCCCTATCATTAATGATTCGATGAAGTTCTTGACGGGCTTCGTCGATTCTATCTCGATCCGCACAGTCTACTACAAAAATAAGTCCTTGCGTTCCTGTATAGTAATGACGCCATAACGGACGTATTTTATCTTGACCACCTACATCCTAAAAATAACAGAAATATTTTATTTAATTAAAAGCAAATAATTTACACTTTTACAGAAAAAGTTTCATACTTACCCACACATTAAATTTAACATTCTTATAGGTAACTGTTTCTACATTGAATCCTACAGTTGGTATAGTTGTCACAGACTGTCCTAATTTAAGTTTATACAATATTGCTGATGTAATTTCATTAAGGAAATAAATTTATACGAAAGATGAATTGAAAAACATTTTTTTTACATATTACCATACGTTATATAACATATAATTGGTTCAATTATAAAACGATACAGCCAAATTATGTAACGTCTTGCTTAACGATAGAAAAAAAATAAAAAGTAAAATAAATATAATAATAAATATAAGTAAGACACACTCGTAATTACAGTGTCGCAAAGGATACTAGTTTTTCCTGCTGCATCCAGTCCTAACATGAGGATACGCATCTCCTTGTTGCCAAAGATCTTTGACAACAATTTGCCCATTTTGCCAGCTATGTTCTACGCACCCGGCACCTGTACTTCACAAAATGCACAATGTATAATTAACGGTTTGCCTGAAATTTTAAACTTATCTAACAACATCGCGTCGTTCTGTCACCGCAGATCTCGGATATCTTCTGTAATTATCATAATAATGGAGTGCATGGATACAATTTAACCAAACGCGTTCACGTACAAGTTTTGGCACGATATTAAGTTAAGATCGCGTAAAAGACGCGTAAAAACCAACGGTAACCGATCGGTCTGTCGCGTAGAGAGGAATAAAGAGCGAAGCTCTCGCCGTATCGTATTCGTGTCAAGCTTGGCGGAAATCGACGTGGAAATCGTTTAAAGCCCACGTTTAAATCCCACGTCTTATCTGTGCATTACCGCTCTCGATCGCGCGGAATCGATCGACGGTTACCTCGACGTCTAACCTCCGCTACGAATCTCTCATCGCGGTCGGACGTTCACTGGAGATGACCTGCAGGCGAGACGCGACTTCGATTCTTCAACGGCAACGCGGATAAACACGAACGAGGCAGCGGCCACGCTACCGCCACCATCACCACCACTACCACCATTATCAGCATAGCACAGGGTGTAATCCTCGGTGCGTGATATTTGCTCGTTTTAGCTGCACTTTCTGCATTCAAAATAGATCATCTCGCGTTCGTATCCCTCGCATTTTCCTCCGTATATTATATTTTGTTTCCACTGGTATAAGATCGAAAAGAGTATTTGAGTAAAAACGGCAGCTTGATTTAAAAACTCGCGCGTTGATAACATTGGCTGCTTTTCATTTTGGTGACATAAGTCGACGTAACACATCATTTTTATCTTTCTTGGCATTCAGTGAGTAACAAAGGTACAAAAGTGTCGTTTTACCTTTGTTACTTACTGAATGCCAGTAAGATAAAATGATGTTTGTGTCGACTTGTGTCACTAATTGATTATATATATATATATATATATGATATGTGTATAACTTTTTCTTTAGGCCAGTAAAAAAAAAAAAATTTCATCTTCGATGATGGTAAATATTTTTATTCTTCATGTTTTCGCCTTTTAAGAAAAAAGTTACATAATCACTTCCTGGTCTCTGTATATTAATTATTTTATTTAATCCGGTCTATAATATATTTGAATTAATGAAACACATCGCTTGCAGCTACAATACCTATCCTTTTGCATATTTAAATCGCATTCCTGATCGCTTTTGGTATGTTATTCAAAGTAAAACGTACAATAAGGATACAAAAAGGAGAAGAGGAAAGGGAAAGAACTGTGGGAAATACAAACCGAGGTAACTTATTCAAAAATTATATATTTAAGACTCCCTTATTTAAAAATTCATTTTGAATGTAGAAAGGAGAGTGTAACAAGTGCAGTTGAAACATACCTAACGGAACGCTCATATATTCAAGTCGTCGAGATCGACATCCAAGGTGCAGAAAGTGCAAAACGAAAGGAACGGACTGCTCCGCTCTGCTCCACTCCGCGCCGCCCGAAACGGAAAGGCGTGTTCATGTGTGGGCGAAGAGACAGGAATGAACTTTTTATCGAGCTGCGCTAATTCGTTCTACACGTCAGGAAATGTCTGGATTGTAATAGTAACAGGTTCTGAGAGGGGCAGACTATAAAAGACAACTATAAAAGAGCTTAGAGCAAGGAGAGAAGACCGAGATAGAATTCGCTTTGACGTTCGCGGGCTATCGATCGTCGGCGACGAAAACGTTGGAAAACGTTTCCAGACAGTCGTGCGAAAAATGTACTTTCGTTTGCAGCGAGTCGCGCTCACGGTGGCTCGCGATTCGCCGTTTCGAGCGGCGGCATGCGATCAAGAGGGAAGGGGTTGGGTAGAAACCAGCAGAGACAGTGGGAGAGGGAAGGCAGGAGCGCGAAGCAACTCACCGAAAAACATCTGCAGAGTAGAACGAGTACTTGACTGTTGATAATACTACACGGACACATCACAATAACGCTGCGCATAACTTTCTGTCGGTCGATTTAACAGTTCCCACCTCGTACGCTCAGAAAAAAAGCGTTATTTCATCGTTATTTCATCGAGTCAGGCACGACACGACGGCATCGTCGTCGTCACGTCCCTCCGTAAATTACAGGAATTACGGTTACGGGGCTGCGGCGCGCACGGCGCATGCAGCGCGCCGCGCCGCGACGTTTGCGTCGTTTGCTTTGCACTCTTTGCTTTGCAATCGTTTGCGCGACAGCTCGCGCTATCGCACGTCGCTCAACGAAACTAACAATCTCCCGCGAGATCTCGGTGGATGTTACAGAATTGTTTAGTTCTTTCTGTCTGTACTTTTCGCACAAAAGAATATATTAAAAAGTATCCGCGGTACTTTGTCACTAGATATATGACCATCAACACACATCTAGTGACAAAAAACCGCGGATACTTTTTAGATGACCCAATAATAAGTATATGCATAGGGTCCAATAAATTGTAATATTTGGATTAGCAAAAAAGCGATCATGTTGAAATTTTCTTGTTGTTGTTTTCTTCGCACAATTTCGAGGACAATAAAAAATTTCAAATATGAAAGTGCTTATGTATATATATATATATATATGTATATGCGTCCATCGCAGGTGTTCTTCATATAAACACTTTGTTTCAATCGTCTTTGTTTCACTAATGACAAACAACAAAGATTCACTGTGTTACACTGTGTCGTCTCTTGCTGAAAAACTATATCTATCCTAGCTGCGTTTAATGTATAAATTTAGTTATTCAAAAGAGAAAAGAGAACGCAAAATACAGAAAGCATGTTTAAAGCGAATGTACGTTTGTTAACTTTTATAAACTTTCTGGAAATAGAATTAAGATCTATTCACTTGAATAGTATCTATACATATATATATATATATATATTAGGTGTTGGAATTAATTCGTAGCGTTTTACAAGTGATGGGAAGTACTTTCATTAATGTATTTTTTAATGCTCATGTGAAATAAATAACATTTTTTCATTAAAAACGCTACGAATTAATTCCAACACCTAATATATATATATGTATATATATATATAATATTCTCCATTTCTTCAATGCGTTGGAAATAGAAAAAAATAATAAACACATATAGTATATATATTCAAACATTAAAGAAAAAAGCAGATAACAAGCAAAGTTTAGAAAACGTACGGCTAAAGCTGGTACACAAAAAATTTAAGTAGTAAAACGTATGTAATAAACAAATCGGCCAATCACAATAGAGAACGTAAGATAATGATAATGTAAACAGTAACAAATTCAAAATGTTGATCCGCTTGTCTTACTGTTCAAATTTTTTTGTGCGCCATGGCTTTAGAGTTATAGATCATCACATTTATTTTCTTCAGATAATATACAATGTTATCGAAATATGAAATATCGAAAATAATTGTTTTGAGAAATAACAGTTACGAGGAAAGTTACTTCTCGAAGCTTATACTTGTATAAATATTCTTTTTACAAACGTGATTTCTGCCGAGTCTGTTCGTATTCGTCAAAAAGATTTCATCGCAGATTCCTCCTGTAAAAAGATATTCAATCGACATCAATTATATGGAAGTAACATCATTGTTATAATTTAACACAGAATGTGATTTTCAAGCAAATCACGAATCATCGCGTGATATTAAAATAATCACTAAAAGATACTTTTCAATCATTTACGATCCATTTTCACGTCATTTTGATGTTATGTGACTTGTGTTATTCTGTTTAAGCTGTTGCATTATATTTATATTGTGTCGAGTGCAAAATTATAATATTGATGTCATACTACTTTTAAATAATATCGACAGAGTATAAACTCCCTTAGCGAGTTGTAATAGCGTTTTCAAAAAAATTCCCAAATGGATTTTGTTATCGAAGATGTCATATGTCCAACATAAAACTTGCAGCCAATTTCTGCGATTTAGCAGAAAAAGCAGCTTTGCAACTGTTGTAAGATTCTTCAATATAATTAATTTACACATTAATGCCCATTTCCACCAACGTAGATTAACTTTAATCTCTAAGTTAAACTTACTCTTTGTCTTTATCCTATTTATTTATTGTCCTAATCTTTAAAACTAAAAAAAGACGAAGAGTAAGTTGAACCGAGATTAAAGTTAATCTATATTGGCATTAGAAATGAGCATTAGTCTTTAGATTCAGCGAGGAACCAAGGGCAACGCCAATCATATTAAAGAATTTTAAAACAATTGATTTTTTCTGCTGAGTGCAATCGATGGCACGAATTTTTTCACCACGTCGCATCGTCCGTTCAAAAGTTTGTAACGCTCGCGAAGGATGTGTATGTGGCGTGATACGGCGTGGGCGCCGACACCTCGTTTTATCTGACGCGAAACGAGGCGCGGCGCGGCGCGATGCGATGCGATGCGATGCGATGCGGCGCGATGCGGCAAGGCAAGACAAGGCAAGGCAAGGCAAGGCAAGACAAGGCAAGGCGAGGCAAGGCGAGGCGAGACGAGACGAGGCGAGATATGGACGACGAGACGAGCGGCGGAGAGGCGGAGGGGAAGAGAAGATGGGGATGCTTCTCGCTCCTTGTTACTCCAGAATCGAGATTGGACGTGGCCGACTGCTCGCGTTGCATTATTTCCTGGAGCGGATCGGTACGCCGCGCCGGCTACGCGCGCGATGCTGTATATTAGTATATACCACCTCCGCGCCGCGTAGTCATGCGACGGCGCCAACATTCCCTTCGTTTAACGACATGCGTGCGTGCGGCCGTAAAACGTCCGGATCTCAGCGGCGGCGCTTAACATGCCTATGGACATGTGGGTTTACACGCTACTAAGAAGTAAGAACGTGGGCACCGCGCGGATTTAAATTAGACGTACGTCTGTTCTGTACATACCTGCACCTGAAGAGAGAAAACGCTACTTGCCGCTATTTAAATGAATAGCGTGTGCGCACGTTACGGGCACACGCGGAAGGCCGAATAATCAGCCATTAATTCACGCCCGGATGGTCGTTAATGCAAATACGATAAGTCCGGCTCTCCTCTCGGCGCGCCGAGAAAAAGTCGGCACCTTTCCCCGGTCTCGGTAAACATCACGCGCCGTTTGATATTTAAATTTCACGTTTTCCGATTAGAATTTATGATAATCGTATATTAATCGTGGCGCCGCGATGGTCGCAATATCCGCGACCGCGAGACACCGTGACTGGGATTCTCGTCTCGGGTCGGTCGTGGATTATGAATTACGATTGATTCGCTCTACGAGATATATCGAAAAACGCGACATACAGTCGAAGAGAGAAAAAGAGGAGATACGAAGAGATAACCTGCTTGCCTTTCACGCGATTGCGACGGAAGAAATATAACCATTTGATCCTAAAGATCAGGGTGTTTCCCGTGTGGTATACGGATCGGATACAAGCCGCGAGTTGCGTTCATCGTACATATATATGTATATATATATATATATATATAACGTAGGAGTGATTTGTGGATTTGAGGCGGGGGTGCGCTCGCGCAAAACCGCTTACTTCCGCAAACCGGTGTGGATTATAAGAATTATTGCCCGTTCAGTCGTTAGAATCATAATAATGACCGAATGTGTGGGACGCGAATAATACTTCCTCGTGCGCGTTGCACCTACAACCTATACGGTAATCTGCGCGCTAAACTCTCACCAACAAATATATAAGCGGCACGAGCGGAAATGAGCAAGTTCGCAAACGGGAGGGGGGAGGGGGGAGAAGAGTACGTCATCCAGATTCGCGAGGAAATCGAATAAGATAGAAAGAAATATAATGTCCCTCTCTTCCTTTTTCTTTTCTTTTTTTTTTTTCTTCCAAGATAAAGCGTCGTGCCGCGCCCCGTGTCGACGGTTCGCTTCACGCCTCTACGTGCCGGCGAGAGAAAGACCGAAAGGACGGAAAGGAGAAGATGAGATCGAGTCGGTTGGTCGTTCAACCAAGCCAGTTACTACACGCTGCGGTGTCGCGCGATCCGGTCAGTTTGGTAAGGAACGTTATATGGGCCCTGAGAGAAGTCGGCTCGTGGGAGAAGATGGGCGCGACAAGTAAAAGAGGCCGCATGGCACGGCAAAATGAGAGAGAGAGAGAGAGAGAGAGAGAAATAAAGCGTTTATATATATAATAATATATTAGAGCAAAAGCCCTAATTTAAGAACATAGATATTAAGCGCGTAGGAATACGGAGTATTTTGAGATGAATCGCGAGTATAAAAGCAGTAGAAATGAAAAATAATGACGCATGTTATAAACTGTATGAAAACTATGTGAGAAAATAAAGATAAATTAATATGAAGAAGAAAGAGAAGAGAGAGAAAGAGAGAGAGGGGGAGGAAGGGGGGAGTACCGTCGAAGTCAAATACGTAGGACGGGTAATGCCTTCTCGGAGCGTGTAATATACACGGCTGGCGGCGCGGCGGCCGTCGCGAGTCGGCGTTGGTCGGCGCTGGTCGGCGCCGGCGCCTGCACACGGTCTCGCCGACGAAAGACTGTGTATTTATAGTGTAATATTATTATAGTCTGTTTACGCGACATGACACATATTCCTCACCGATATGCCTGCCGTGAGAAATCTATAGTATCTCGTTCAAAGGATCTCGCGCCGAATCTCCTCGATCTCTTTCTCGTTCGTCGTTTGTTAGCCAAAATATATACGTAATAATAAAGATATGCCTACAATATTAAATAAAAGTAACACTCTCTGCGTACCGATTATTTGTTTCAGTTCTTGTTTCATCTGACAAACAGTCTTAGACGGAAGCTCGAGTGCGTAATGTTACGAATAAAATTGACAAGTAATTTAATATTATTGATGGTAATAAGCATTTTTTGAGTATTGAATAATGATGTAATGCGAAATATCAGTATTATATGAGGTTTCTGCAAAAGGATTCACGAAAATGTAAATATGTCCCTCGAAATAATAGAGTTTTTTCAAATACCAGAGGATTGTTGTTCAAATTCTTTATCATAGTTGTGATGATAAGTAGTTGAAAATTTTAAAACTTTTCAATTTTTACACTTTTCTGTATTTTATATTTTCTGCTTGAACGACGGAAATCATATTTCACTATTTCCAGATTCTGTAAATTATAAATTATATATTATATAATATAATAGTTTAGGCAATTGAAGATAAATTGTTGCAAGAAGTATATTCGGATGACGGGAGAGGACGCTAAT